CGAGCCGGCCCCACCAGTGGCAGGCGGACGAGGAGGCCGTGCGCAAGGGGAAGTGCAGCTTCCCCGTGCGGGTGAGTGGGGCGGGGCTTGCACACGCGTGTGCGCAAGGGAGACTTGCAGCTTCCCGGGGCAGGGCTTGCACGCTCATGTGCATGATGAGATGTGCAGCTGCCCGGTGCAGGTGAGTGTGGCAGGGCTGGCATATGCGTTTGCGCCCGGGGAAGTGCAGCTTCCCGGTGCGGGTGAGCGGGGTGGGGTGGAGCTTGCACACGTGCGATCACACGTGCAAGTGCATCTTCCCAGTGCAGTTGGGTGGGGTTGCACACGTGTTGTGCATGGGGAAAAGCAGCTTCCCAGTTTGGGTGAGCAGGGTGGGGCTTGCACGCGTGCGCATGAGGTGGGATGTGTGTGTGCAGGTGTGTGTCATCCCCTGCTGGGACTGGGATTCTGGAACCTGGGACTGGGTGCCTCATTTGCATCTTATTAGCATGTGTGCCCCCCACCCTGCTGATGCCCCTGGCCCCCGGTTGCAGAGCGGGCGCAAGTCGGTGAAGTCGGTGCTGTGGGTCTCGGCCGACGGGCTGCGCGTGGTAGACGACAAGACCAAGGTAAGGGGGCGGAGCCTGGGGAGGGGCGTGGCCTGATGGTCCCACTCCTTATGGGGCAGTACCCCCTGCTGGCTTGGGATCTGGGGTGTCCCGCCCCATGGGGTGTGACCTGGGGCAAGGCCCGGGTGTGGGGTCAAAGAGGTGGGGCCTCCAGGGGTGTGGCTTGGAGCACTGCCTGCGGTCCTGCCCCGTGTGGCACCGTGCTCCCTGCCGGCCTGATAGGGGCCAATCGGGTGGGGCAGGGGTGGGGCCTGGCTGATGCGCGTGTGTGTCCGTGTCCGTCCCACCAGGACCTGATCGTGGACCAGACGATCGAGAAGGTGTCATTCTGCGCCCCCGACCGCAACTTCGACAAGGCCTTTTCCTACATCTGCCGCGACGGCACCACGCGCCGCTGGATCTGCCACTGCTTCCTGGCCCTCAAGGACTCGGTGCGTGAGCACGTGGGTGTGCAACACACGCATCTGCTGGGGCGTGCGCGGGTGGGGGCGTACGTGCAGGCACGTGACACAGGTGACACAGGGCGCCTTTACAGATGCGTGTGGTGTGTGCCATGGGTGTGTGTTCCTCAATGTGCACTTGCCATGCAGTGCGGCACATAGGGGGTGTCGGGTGTGTGTGCAAGGGTGCGCAGGGTGGGGGGTATGGGCATGTATGGAGTCTCACAGGTGTGCACACGTGTGCCTTCGCAAAATGTGTGCAGTGCAGCGTGTGCAAGGCGTGTTGGGTGCGTATGGATGTAAGTGCGAGGTGCATGCGCATGTGTGCACATTTGCAAATGTGTATTTGTGCATTTGTGGGGGCGTTCACTAAGGGGGGTGCGCGTGGAGGCTGTGGCACGTGTCATAGGTGTGCATGCGTGTGTGCACAGGGTGGGTGTGCCTTCACGTGCACACGTGTAGCATGCAGTACTCGGCGCGTGTGTGCATCCCCATGTGCACGCATCCCCAGCACGCTCCACCTCCGACGCACGCCCTTGCTTGGCACCTGTGTGCAATCCTGGCATGAGTGCCCACGTGCCCCTCGCACGAGGCCCTGACGTGCCCCCGTGACCCAGGGCGAGCGGCTGTCGCACGCCGTGGGCTGTGCCTTCGCCGCCTGCCTGGAGCGGAAGCAGAAGCGGGAGAAGGAGTGCGGCGTCACAGCCGCCTTCGACCCCACACGCACCAGCTTCGCCCGTGAGGGCTCCTTCCGTGCCCCCGGCACCCGGTCCCGGGCCCCCCCGGACAAAAAAAAAGGTACCGGCCATGCCCCCTGCCCTGGCCCAGGGTTCCCAAGGGGGCAGGCGCAGGAGCAGGGGTCCTCATCCCCTGCCTTGGGGGCTGCAGCGGGGACTGGGCAGGGTTTGGGGTCTCGCCCCCATCCTTAGGGGGTTTGGGGTCTCGTCTCCATCCCCCTGGTATTAGGGCCTGGGGGTATGGGGGGTGGAAGGAGGCTGGGGCAATGGTGTGGGGTGAATGTAGGGGGGCT